GAAAGCTTCGTAGGGAATATCAGTATCGGCACCTAGGTAGGCAATGGGATAGGATGAAGGGACGTTGGAAAGCTTGCTGCGTGTGGAAACATACCTCGTTCCATGCTGAGGAAGGGGATACAGTTGTTTAACTGTAGACATTGTTAGTATTGAAATATATATATATATATATAATTAATTGTGAACCGAAGGAAAAAACGATGATGAATTGGGAAAAATAAGAAGAAGAGATGTTAAGGAAGAAATATATGCAGGATAGGAAGCAAAAATGGTTTTGAGAATAGACCCACGCCATATATGCAATACGGGGAAAGGTGCATATGAAGCAACGAGCGAGGATGATAGGGAAGGGGCATAGTAGGGAAGGGGCATAATGAGGAAGGGGCATACTTGACTATAAACCCGACGATGGGAATCCGATGATAGAAAGCCGATGATAGAAATCGGATGATGAAATCTGTCGAGCGCGCGGATAGTGTTTGTGCTGCCGCGGAAAACGTATTGCGAATGATGCGCAAGATAGAAGAGAAAACTTAGACAAACATTGATTAGCTGACTTCAGGCGCGCGTGAAGAAAGGTGACAGGTTGACAAGATGAGCGAGTCGAAGAAGGTCGCGTAGAGTATAGCGCGTTCCATCTAGGGGTGGATGGTCGATGAGAAAAAACATACCTCTTTACTGCGATCAAGCGATCACTGGCAGCGTATCGATTGGTCGGAGAAAGATCTAGAGATTCTGCAGAAGGTGTAAGTCCTTTTACAAGTAAAGTAAAGAAATAATAGAGACACGTCAAGTTTGTAGATACCTTGGGGCAATGTGAGATGATGAAGGCTGATCGCGTGCGCGGGATAAAGGATTGTTCGTGTACTCCAGGTAATTAAAAAAGAATAACTCGAAAGAGTTTCCAGAATCAGAACAATTACGAAAAAAAGAGTTCAGTGATTGTGCAATTGGGCACCTTGGTCGTCGACGACTTGACGAGCAACCAAGAGGAAGCCCTCCTAGGGAACGCGTCCAGCAACGCGCACAAATCAACGATAACAATTATTCCCTAAACGATTAGCGCGTCACTCGAGACTCTGCACCTTCGATAAAATCTTTTCAGAGAATCATTAAATTCATCGCGCACTTCTGCTACAACTCGTCATCCTTCCCTCTCTCTAATCCCTCTTCCTCCTTGTCTCCCTCGATGGAGATCCGACCAGCCACTGGTCCCTAGTCCCTTTTTCTTTTCCTTTTCCTTTCTTTTTCTTTTTCTTTTTTTTTTTTTATATAAATACATCAACTATCTAAAGAAGAAGCCGACTCAGAGTCGACTTAAAAAGAAGCGAAGAAGCGACCGGATACGATCCGGTATCAACCAGCCCCCACGACAAGAAGCTGGGATAAGGTCTGCCCGAAGGAGACCGAAGAGAAAACCCGAAGAAAGCAGAGATCCAGTATGTCCAGCCAAGTTGTCGTTCTTGGACTTACGGAGGCGAAAGAGGCTGACGATCATTTATTTAGTCTTCGGACGCTTCGCCCTGGCGGTGCGACCGCCCTCTTGGTCGTCGTCGTCTGCAGCAGCAGCTTTGCTACGCTTGCTACGTCGTTGAATGGCAGGCTCGTCGGAGTCGTCACTCATCGGAGACGCTTCGTTGCATTTGGGACTAGCCTGGCTACTAGCATTCTCTTGGTGCAAAGCATCAGAGCTGTTGACAGCATCTTCGAGGCTGCCGAGAACATATTCTTTGACGTTGTCCAACAGGACCTCTAGGCGAGCTTTGGCAGATTCTCGCTCGACCTTCATAGAATCTCGGTTGGTCATCGGGCCGTCCGGCTTCTGGTTCACAGCCTGCTGTTCTTTACAGAAAGCAGCTAGTTCCTCCATCACAGCAGGCTGTCCTTCGATGGTAGCAGCGACTTGCTCCGTACGATCTTTACGAATAGTAGCGACTTCCTTCGTCAAGGCCTGCTGTCCTTCACGAATAGCAGCGAGTTCCTTCGTCAATGTCAGCTGTCCTTCACGAATAGCAGCGACTTGCTCCGCAAGGTCTTTACGAAAAGCAGCGAGTTCCTTCGTCGATGTCTGCTGTCCAGTAGAAACTGCCTTCCGAAGAACATCGAATTCCTCCATCGAATCACGCTGCATTTTGTTGAGAGCGGTCATCCCCTGCAACACGCCTGGAAGATCGGGGTTCACCACAACCTCATTGTCGGCGACGGAGCTGGCGTTACTGTCCTCCACATCTTGAGCTTCATTCTCGTCAGAGAATTCCTCGCGGGCTTCTTCGTCAGAGCCTTCGGTACCTTCAGCAGGTTCCTCGTCATCCTCCTCGCCATCCTCCTCGTCGGCGTCCTCGTCGTCATCGCCGTCATCCTCGCCGTCATCCTCCTCGTCAGCATCCTCGTCAGCGTCCTCGTCAGCGTCCTCCTGGGCCGCCTTGTAGACGTGCGCGAAAACGCAGCGGTTGCCTCCGGAAGGTTCCGAGAAGCTCTTTTCACATCCGGGCCAGCAGCAACGATGTCGTGTTTCGGTGCCACCGCCGTTTGCACGGTTTGCTTCAAACGAGTTGGAGTAGCAGTGCTCCTTCGTCAGATGTTTTCGGAGGTCGATTTCTTGGTCCGCCTGATGACTGCAACCAGGCCACTTGCACACGGTTCCAATGTGGATGTGCATTATGTGGTTATTGAGGTTGGACTTGGTTCCGGTGGTATGCTGGCACTGTTGGCAAGTGAAAGGCGCCGCCATCTTGAAATGCTGGTCGGGAATGTCTGGCAAGAAACAAAGTCAGACTATACGTCAAGCCTCTGGGAGTGAAACGCGCTCGAGTTGACACCAGTCATTTGTGGGTGATGGTTGAACGATCCCTCAAAACAGTGAGAACATACCTAAGATGACTAAACGAGCCTTTTAAGGTCTTGTTGCGTACTTGGGTTGAGATCCTAGATCAAGGCCTGAGACCACGTGGGACCTTGGTTGCGAAAGGAATCCTGGTTGCGAAAGGAATCCTGGTTGCGAAAGGAATCCTGGTTGCGAAAGGAATCCTGGTTGCGAAGATACTGTGGAGTCCTAGGTGCGAAGGGGAACCTTGTTGCGAGGAGATCGTGGTTGTGAAGAGACCGTGGTCGCGAAGAGGTTATGGTCGCGAAGAGATTGCGATTGCGAAGAGACTAAGGTTGCGAAAAAAAACCGTGGTCGCGAAGAGGATGGGGTTGCGAAGAGACCGTGGTCTCGAAGTATCTCGAGATCAAGAGCGCGTAACCTAGTAAAGTATCTTTCGTCTACGAACGATGAATTCGAAGAAGCCTCTAAGTTTGCAGTGATCGCAAAGCGATGTGATAGATTGAATGTGTAACCGGGGAAAGTATAAAGTTGACTTGAGACGAGTGCCTCCTGTGTCGGAATGATGAATGCTAACGATAGTGCAGACTTAACTTACGATGGCCGCAGAGTTATGCGTTGGCGTTGGTGTCGGATAAGAAAACGAAAAAGGTCGCGCAGAGAGATCTGGGTGCGAAGTCTTGCGCGTGGTGGAAAGGAAAAGAAAAAGGTTGCGGGGAGAGTGCGTTATGTTTTAGAAGTTTTTACCAGTGCGCGGTCAGAGTTCTGGGCAGTCAGCAGAGAAACGGCGGGAGGAACTGCGGCTATACACCCGGCGACGACGAGAAAGCGTACGCGAAAACTAGGGGGCTTGTTTGCGATTGCTGCGGATAATACGCCCACTAACCGTTGCCGGATTGTACGTTCCAGTGCTGCGTTGCTCGACGTGTCTGTCTCTCTAGCCAGCGCAGATAGAGAATATCGGTAGTGTCTGGTTTGAAGCTTCTGAGTCGTCTGCGCGGTGGAAATTGGTGTAAAACGAGAAAACGGGACACTGTGGTTGATGTATTTGATATCACCTTGCCCGAGGTTTAGGTCAAGAGTAAGATCATGTAGCCAGTCCACTCTCTTAATCAGGATACTCGTTTCCAGCTGCGCACAAGACCCCTCCTAAACCTCGGGCACTGACTCGCCCATCGCCCATCGCCCATCGCCCATCGCCCGTCGCCTGTTGCTTGTCGCCTGTCACTTGTCGCCTATTGCCCGTCGCCCGTCGCCCATCGCCCGCTAGTCCCCGCTGTTTCAAACGTACTCGGAATACGTTTCCATGATACTCGGAGGGTCGAGTACGTCGATCTGTACGACACGGGGCGTCAGGGGCTATGCCATGATACATGTCTCTACATATGAGAACACAGAGGAACTAAGGCAGAGTGGTCTACGAAAGAAAAGGAATGCCGAGGTCTAAATTGCTACTTACGTGCCTATCTAACAGGTAACTGGTAATACGAAAGAAGCTTCGTATCGTAAAGACACGCATTAGATTTAATACAGTTGGTCAAGCTACCTCACTTTACACGTATATCGTAATGTCTTTACAAATATATGTATAGGACAATAGACGTTATAGTAGCGATAATTGTAATAGCTTGCTAAGAGTTTAAGTTAGATCGATAAAGGTGTTGTAGTTAGAGTATGTTACGGGCATCATTAATACCATAACGTTTTCAAAGCAGTGTCAAGGAAATTGACAGACGTCAAGTGAATTACAAGTATCAGAACTCGGAAAGTTATTGTACGTAAGTATTTCAGTAACTACGTTGACAATACGATAGCCATTTGAGGAACGAAGTTGACAATAAAAATAGACATTGACTCTAAGAATTATTGAAGTTACGTTTCTAAGTCTATGCTAAAACTCTTTGCAACTGCGTGTTACGGATTGATACGTAACTCAATTATCCTTTGTAAAAGGAACGTACTTGGTAACTAAAAAGTTTCTTTGTTAACCTTGCTCATAACTACCTAGGTAGACTCTACGTCGGAGCTTATATCAAAACGTTTAGTTACTTAGAACAACTATCACAAGACTGCGAAGTGCGTAGGACGTGCGTGACCTTATCACTGAGTGGAGTGTGGGTAAACTCAAATATCACGTGAACAGAATAGATGGGCAGTATACCTAAAAAATACAAGTCGCCCCAGGCGGGAGTCGAACCCGCAACCTTGGGATGTTGTGTTATCTGATAACGTCTGCTGAGAAGATAAGATACCATTAAAAGTCCCACGCTCTAGCCAATTGAGCCACCAGGGCCTGCTTGTATTGGCAGTTGCAAGACAAGAGGTACCTACTGTACTTCTAGGCTTGTAGAAATTGTTTGTTAAGTTTTCGGGACAAGCTTGAAATACGTATCATCATTGATCTACTAAAGTTCGATTCATCTAATTGGGTACTGGGACTGTGACAAGAAATCTAGGTGCAGTTTATCATTCAGCGGGACCAGGGCGAGGTTACGTTTAGTTCAATCAAGTTGGCAAGGTGTTGGTAACATTTCGTCTCAAATGAAAGGAAGACGGATTCACTTGCATCTTGTAAATATTATCAGGTTCCTTAAATACTAAGCTACTTCAAGTATTCTCGCGAAAGAAAGGGCCGAATTATATGACGTGTGACTGAAAACCCAAAAAAAGTACCTTCATGCTTAATCGAGTCAAAGGTCGAGCTCGATACGATGTGCTAATCAACGTAATAGAATGAATGACATCCCAACTCAGGGACTGCCATATCGCAGAACGAAAAAGCAGCTTTAAGTGAGACCTGCAGTCTTTTACAACAGAAGTTGGGTATGTTTCTCTAATCAGGAGCCCTCCTATCTATCGCCAGAGTAATGCCTCAATCCGCAACTGTAGGTGCGCACAGGTGGCTCTGGAGGGAAAAAAAAAAAAAAGGCAAGCGCATCCTACTCCCAGTATTTAGTGCTACCAGCCTTGCCGGCAGTCAATGCCAACTTGTTCTTCCTTCGCTTCTGACCGCCGTGAAACGGGTCCCACTCGTCCACCCTCTCGGATAAATCCTCCTCCTCGTCTTTGAAGGACTGGTGTTGCAACTTGCGGCGCATGGTCGCCTGCGGGCCACGCGGCTGATCTATAATGATATGGTTAGCTATGTACATAAGTACTGAATAGTATGATGTTTTTCGAATCCACTCACCATCAATGAGATCGTCGTCGATGATGGCCTTGCGGGTAGGCTTCTTGACCGTCTTCTTAGACGACTCACGATCGTGAATCCCACGTGGCGCAGTGGTTAAAGCGCCTGGCCGCGCATGGCCCGTGCACGACTGCACGGTTTTCTCCATGCGAGTGGGTTCAAGTCCCACCGTGGTTTAACTACCTATCCAAAATTTCAGGGTTTTTTCATCCCTTTCTAGGGCCCTTCGGGCGCCGGGAGGGTGGTTCTGAGGCGTTATCAGGCAGAGCTCGGATAAGGGGTTTTTCCCTGAATATATTGGATAGGTTGCCAGGGCTGGCGCCCTGACTAAAGGAGTAATGCGAAGGAGCAGGTATTGTGGAGGATTTCTATATGTCAAGCGAAACTCTGGCTCTGCACCTGTGTACTCCAGACGTCCTATGCGCCATAGTAGCGCCTCGCTATGCCTGTACACACCTATTGGTAGTCAGATAGCCGGACGTAAACAAATTCATCATCATCATCATCACGATCGTGAAGCGAGGGCTTCTGCTCGTTCTTGGGATAGAAGGTCGAGGTAGGCTTTCCATGCATCTCGTCGTACATTCGATACCACTCCGTGACAGAGGGATCGTCCTTCGCCACAAACATCCGACGTGTGCCAGCATCGCTGGGAGAGGCCTTGGATACCGTTTCGGCGCCATCGGAGAGCTCTAGGTCTTCCGAGTCATCGAGGTTCGAAGCCGGCTTGCCGTGCTGCTCGTCGAATCTTCGATACTAACCTGCCTGTCGTGCGCCGATGTCGCTGGCAGGGGCCTTGGGTGACTTGTGGATGCGACCCGAGAGCTGCGGCACGGGCGCGGTCAGGAAGTCGGACTTGGTCTCCGGCTGAGGAACACGCGCAGTAAGGTGATCCCAAGCGCGCTCGTGGGTCTTATGCTCCTTTGGCTTGAACTGCTTCTTGCCGGGCTGAGGCTGCTTGCGAGGTGTCATCTTGGATGGGCTGGCGATGATGTCTTAGGTAGATTAGCGGACGATAATTTCATAGAATAAGGGAAGTAGGGTCTTTACTTCTATCGTGATGGTGTAGAGGTCGTGGGTGTAGAGACTGATGGTGTAAAGATTTAGAGGCGAAGGATATTTTTTTGCGGAAAGAAAAGAGCAAACTTGAAGGCTGTGAGAGTGGAAGAGCTTTCTGAGGTGGGGATGCGCCGTTTGGTCAGAGATCTGGATACGTTACGCTTATCTACCTAAGGTAGCAGAATGATCTCTTAATTCGGCGACTAACATATCATAGAGCGAAGTGGCAGGGTTAGACAGGTCCTCAATTTTCTGTAATGGAAATTGAGTAGCATTTGTCAGAATCAGAGAGCCCCCTAATTTACGACCTTAGTGTTCGCAGCCGTGTGTCCTCTACGGATCGATGACTATGAAGAAAGAATAGGACCTCCTAACTCCATTTTCTAGTATGACGACCCCTTTCCGTAGTCCATTCAAAAGTACAAGTCTCTCTTAGTCCTCTGACGCCTGTGGCCGGGGTACGGCTCCCATCGATCCACCTTCTCAACGTGGTCCATGTCTGAGTCTTCGATGGACTAGTCATTCTCCGGGTCGTCCATGAACTGGAACTTGTCCATCGGCTTGCGGCGCTTCGTGGCCCACTGGCTGGGCGGCACGTCTATAATAATGTGACTAGCCATCAGGTGTCTAGATAGGTATTAAGTGGGATTACTTCTCTGGTTTACTTACCATCGATTAAGTCGTCGTTGGGTTGGATTCCCTTAGTAGGTGCCATGACCTGCTTCTGAGAAGCGTTCTTGTGCTCCTGGTGACCGTAGACGGACGAGTTCTGGTTACCCTTGGCATTGGCGGTCGAGGTAGGCTGTCCGTGTTCCTCGTCCCACATGCGGTACCAGTTCGCGACTGACGGGTCGTCCTTGCTGACATACATCCGCCTGGTGCCAGCGTCGCTGACCGTGTGTTTGGCAGATTGCTTCACACCATCGTCGTAGTCCGAAGCCTCTCCGTCGAAATCGACCTCATGCGTGCTTCTGCTGGGCTTCGCGTCCTCGTCAGGCGACTTCTTGTGAGTTGATCGGGATGCGGGTGCGAGGTCGGGATTGGGCTCAACCTTAGGAATGCGATAGGTGAGGTGATCCCAGGCACGCTCGGAGATCTTGTGCTCCTTCGGCTTGACCACCTTCTTAACACGCTGGGATTCCTTTCGGGGCGGCATTTTGGACGATGAGGAGAACAGATTTTGTAGAGTAAAGGGCGGTTGGGTCTTTACTTGTATGGTGATGCTGAAAAGAGCTAGTTCTCCAGAGGGAGAAAAGACAAGTTGTGGCGGGAGAAAGCTTCATGGGTGAAGGTGTGAAAGTGGAAGATCTTTCTTAGGTGGGGATAAGTCGTAGTATATATACTATTTTTTTCGTGGCCATTGTGTATCGCCTGACGACAGGCGAGCAAGGTACATGATAAACCCCTTAGGCGACGAGTATCTACCTGGAGGCAAACTCATTCGTGGTTGTTTGTATGAGAGCTTTGGGCAGCCACGACGCCTTCAGGTCGGTATCCACCGAGGTGCCTGCCTCGGGTACCTAAGGTGTGTTTAGGCGTCTTAATATTTTCGCAGCAAACCTCCTTGCCCATATCAATAGAAATAATGAATGGTAAATGATAGATGATGAAGGATTAATAGTACCTTAGGTACGCGGGGACCTAGGGTATGAGTGGAACGTAGGGAATGGTAGCTATTACGCAGAATTACGGAGAGCTCCCCCTTAGAGGATCAAGTATAGTTGTGTAATGTCTCAATCACGACGATATAGAGACCAATGCTTGAAGCTTTATAGAACTTTATTCATTCGCAAATATAATCAGAAGAAGTTCCTTTCCTAACCCGAAATTCAAGTTCCCTCCTCGATCTGCCGGAGTAGTACCTGTCGCGTAGCTGCGTGTTGTTCTCGTGCTGGAATAATGATCTTCTCTGATACTAATCGTGCCTGGCCCCTTTTCTCTTCTAGACTTCGAATGGTTTCCAGCGTTTGATAGCCTCAACCAGCTCTTCGGTCGAGCAATCACGAGGCTCACTGGGACTCGAGGAGGGATTGGCTCCCATGGGGGCGGGTGTTGGAACTAGGTCTACCTCGTCGGCTATATACTCACGTTAGCTAGATATTCAAAAATAATAGCGTGTAATTCATTTACCGTCGTCCATCTCCACGTCAGAGCCATCCACTCTCGTCATGCCCTCTCTTTCGTGCTGAGGCTGAGGCTGGTGACACTGCTCCTCCTTGAAGGTCATCTTCGGCGGCTCTCCGAGCTTCGTTCGCCAAAGAGACTCCTGACTAACAACTCCACGGCTGTTTAAGTTGGCAATCATTCGTCGGTATGCCTCATTCACAGCCGTATTGGGGTTCGGGTTAGGGCTGTGCTGGGCTAAGTCTTGGTCGTCCATGCCGCCCGTCGCCGTCGTGGCCAACCTTCGAGACTCCTGGTTGTACCACTTGGAAAGAGGAGACTTATTCTGACTGATGGGCCTCAGGCGTGAGCCTGTGCCGGTCTTGGTGCGCTTCGAAACGCCATTAGGCGGAGTCTGGTAGGTGGTTCTCGACTTGGATGGAGTTCTCAGGATCGGAGTGCGTTCATCACGGGCTCGCTCACCGATCGGTCGTGTTAGACCGAGCCTCTTCGAAGCAGGCTCAGATTTCTTCAGGGGAGCCATGATAAGAGCGAATATGGTGAGGCTGGAAAGAAAAAATGCGAGAGGTAGAGAAATTCTGTTCATCAGGACAGATGTAGGTATTCGAAACCGGGGGGGGGGTGGTTGGAAAAGTTGTGACAAGTCGCCGAGCGCATATTCTTTTCTTGACGCGAGGACGTGGAGTTATGCAAGTTCTACGTGACTACATGATAGCTCTTAAATCTGCCTAGTTGTATACGAGCCTTTTCGTATCTGGATCCTACGTGAGAAAGACAACTCCTCTGGTCACGATCTCCGTATCAGTACGGTGGCATCTTTCCATTCCTTCACATAACAATGGCCGTAAGAGGAGGAATATTGATAACGGCAGATAGTTTAACGTCCACTCAAAGACGTACATAATGAATTTAACTATGATAACCTTGAACGTACTTAGAATCATTCAACTCCCCTATTCCTTCGTTCTTGCGGAGAATGCTGAGCCCTTTTCCATCTTGGAAGTTTCCCTTGCCAATTTCTCATACTCCTCCAGTTACACAGACTTCCTGTTCGCAGTTTATAGTTACCTGTTCTCACGACCACACGCCTCCTGATCTTGTCGGTGACTGAGTCATCTTGTGAGAAGCAGGCATATAGCCATCCCATCTGTCGTTTGATTCTTTTACCACCTTTCTTCCTGTCCGACTATTCGGCATCTCCTCGATCTCACCACCCTTGCGCCTATGAACCGCCGAACCTCATAGCATGGTTCTGTGTAACTACGCAGTGTTAGAGTTGTATCTGTGATGACCTGAGGTGCGATTTACTGTGGCTTATTAGTATGATGACATCGTCGGCAGACCTTCGACATCTCGCCAAAGTCGGTGGAACCCGAGTTCTTCTCGCAACATATGCGGCTAGCAAAATCAACTCTAGCCTTTGGGCTGCGTTCCCCATGTTTCTTCAAGTCAAGTAGGGAAATAATAGAGACACCGACATCCTCCATGAGCTGGCGTACCTCGGCGAACCGCGGCGCATCCCAATTGGATGAGTCGGGCGAGTCTTTGCCCTCTGTGCCGGGCTGATTAGGCCGCCCACATAGCCAACGCGCTTTAGCCGGCCTAGCATCTCGAGCCCCGACTGGTAGCCCTTCGGGTTCGATGGTAACCTGCGGGAAGAGCTGAGATTAGTATACTTGTCTGTATCAGGTAATTCTAAGGCAAGAACATACCAACCGGGGGTAATGAGAGTGCTAACATTGGTCGAGATCGAGACATGTCGAGCCAACAAGGACAAACATCCTGCATAATCAGGTAGATAAAGTTAATCCAAAGATGTATGAATTCGTATATATAAAGCTCTATCAGTGTTATTACTGCTTCAGTAGATCCTGAACGTGTCCTTGAGGCAAGTTGGAGCAGAGATCTCAGGGGATGTTACCCCTTTTTATCCTTGTCTGCGCACGGACCACTCTAGCCCCTGAAAACTAGCGTGCACCGCTTGATGGTGTTTT